CTAGTACGGAGCCCGTGCGATGCACGGGATGCATAATTTTAAGGCTATTTATCCAGACTTATAATTATATACATAAATAAAGAAAAATGTACGGATATATATAATATGTGACCCGTGCAAAGCACGAGATATATTTATTTAGAGAATATTATATTATAAGATGCAATATTCAATAAAAGTTTATAATACGCAAGAAAATTGTATAATGTTCAATAAAAGTTTTATAATATTCAAGTGGAGTCTTAAAGTCTCTTGTACATTAATAATATTTTAATCAATGAGTTTTCTTTCCTTGTAGCTAAATTGTGAATGTGATTTGAGAAATACAACAAATCGATATATATATAGCTGACTTGCTTTTTTCATTGTAGTTTTTTTTTTATAATGAATTTAAAGATATTCTAAAATATAGCAAAAATTAATTTTTTTATTACAATTAAGAATTTTACTAAATATAAACTCTCAATCTATGGTGTTAATCAACGTTTAAGTCTAAAAAATTAGGAATTTTTACCTCTTTTAATCAACATTTAAGTCTAAAAAACAATAGAGTTATTATAAGTTTTTTTTCTACATCTTTTAAAATATTAAATATGATCATATTAGGGCTAGTTGTAAAATAATTAATATATTATCTCACTAAACATTTATACTAATAAAAATTTAATTTTAGCATATAAATTTATCCCTTGATATAAGAGAAAGTAACAGTTTTACTTATTGTTGTTCACCATATTATATTTAATTATTATTTTATTATATAATTAAAAAGAAATATTGTTAAATAGTGTAGTAGAATTGTTAAAAAATTATATAATTTTTTTTTTACAATATGAATTTAATATTTTTTTATGATTTGATAATATAAATAAATCTATACTTAACTTTGACAAATAAAACAAATAAATACTTTAGTAAGTATTTAATATATATACTATATAGGAAAATATTTGGTATAATCAAATACCAAATATAATCAAATAAGTCAAGTGTACATTTTTATTTGGTATTTAATTTTTTTATTATTAAATTTTTTTTATTATACTTACCTTTTTAAAATAAAATAAATAAATAAATTAAATAAATAAATAAAATATTATAATACAAAAATAGTAATGACATTTAATACACTTGACTTATCTGGATCGTAAATGTAGTAAATAGAATCTTCTTTTATATAAGTATAGATTGTATAATACGGAAATAGTTATGCAATAAATGTTGTTGACTTTTCTTTATACTAAATCTGGTAAATGGTATACCTTTTAATATAAGTATAGATTGTCTGTATTGAACGGATTGAACACAAGCAAGCTCTGAGATATCAGGATAACGAGTTGAAACACAATTATAGCTTGAATAATAAAAAAGTATAATTGAAAAGTATTCGAACATAATTGAACTTGATGTAGAAATCCTTAACTTTGCTTTACTATGTTCAATCACAAGAAATAAATGAAATTAAATAGCTCTATAGATACGTCTCTGGAAACCCATTTTTCAGGATCACAAAAAAAGTTTTTTAGTTCCATAACTGACTTCCTTTTTGGTTTTGTCCTGAAAAATTTGCGTTTTTAGAAATGACTCTGTAAGTGAAAAAAATAAAATAAAATCGTTGTTTAGTCCTCTGACCGCCTATAGTAGGTCACCGTGACCGACTACACCTACATGTAAAATCATTTATTATTTTTTTATTTTTTGCTGACGTGGCAGCTATGTGGCAACAATATGCTTACATGTAAATTTTATTTAATTTTTCTTTTTTTTTTGGCTGAGGTGGCAAGTGACCAATTATCCAAAATAATGGCCATAGGGAGACTCAAACCCTGCACCTCTTGTGCAAAACAAGCCCCGTCACTACCTTGAAGTACAAGATCATATGCTAAAAAATTGACTTCAAATATATATCTATCTATAATTCAACATCAATTTATCTGAAAGGGGTCAGTTACGGGACTAAAATACTTTATTTTGCCATGCATTCTCCAAATAGAAGACGCACTGATGCTAGGTCTTAGAATTG